CTGCAACAAAACGAGTAGATCAATCACCATCCTAGTTAGGCTCAAACGAAAGGGGGATGGTTATATCCAAATCCGTTTAGTTTCATTTAACATGTCATAAAGCCTTCTCAAAAAATCCAACGGTTTATATTAACAACTTTGGGCACTGATTTGTTAACAGAATATTGTGTTGAAGACATGACCCTTAGTCATCTCTTTCTTTTTTCTTTGAATTCTGAATTTTTAACAAGGTACATGTATCACAATATTTTACAAACTACTCACAGACTAATTTTCAACTCAAACTGAACCGAGGCAAGATTCTGGAAACACAAAAAAATATAAAAATAAAATTGAAAAAAAACAAAACAAAGTAAAAAATGGGGACATTTAAACAACTATAATTGATTCATGAAAACTAAAGGAAATAAGGGAGATTACGAACCTTGTGTAGAGTAGCAAACAAGAGCTTTAACGTCAAGAATTCTACTTTAAACTTTCTCAAAAGCTCAACTCGAAAAAGAAATGAAAACAGGGAACAATGATAATAACTTTAAAATCAGTTGCCCTTTCTCTATTGCAGCGTGAATTTTCAAACCTTTTCTGGATGATTTTTAGTCGATTCTTGGGTCTTCTTGGATTTTTCTCGATTCTGTTCTTGATCCTTTCAAATGGGAAGACCCTGCCCTTTTATAGGTGAAATCAGACTTCAAAGTCGGATTTGAAATCCAAATTTCTTTGGGGGCAGAGGACTGCAACTAAATTCAAATCGACATCAACTTTTCAGATTTTTGGAGCCGTTGGGATCAGGCATATGCGGCATAAGGTGTCTCTTTTCATCAAAAAGGGGTGATGGAGGAGACATAAAGCAAGAAACCACCGGATATTGTTGTTTTCCGGCGGTTCATGGCGAACTTGATGGGACGAAGGAATGACGGGGATTGGGGAAAGGCAGCGCCTAGGGAAGGAGGAGAAATTGTGAGGCGATGGGAGAGTGCATGATGTTGGAGACTGCCGGATATTGTTGTTTTCCGGCGGTTCATGGACGTTTTCTTTGGCAGGACCTGGGAAAGGGGTGAAACGCCTGGGGAAGAAGGAACTTGGGGAATGAGAAGCGTGATTTCCTGGGAAAAGAAGAAGTTTGAGGCGATGGGGGGTTGTACTATTTGGGAAAGATTGAAAATGGCTTACTTAATCCGGGCCGTCCGATCAATCAATCGGACGGTTAAGATAAATCAGGAATTAAAAGGAATATATATATATATATATTAAATAATGGAAAAAGCTTAATTAACTAGGACCGTTAGATTTAATCGTAGGGTCAAGATTTAAGCTAAAGAAGCACAATCCATGTGCTCGCCTACGTGACATACACAGATTGGCCGGTTTAAGAAGACTTGGATTGCCAAATTTGCTCAAATTAAATTCATTTAAATTATAACTACTTTATTTATTAAATAGCCATAAGAGATAATTATTTTGCAAAATTAGCTTATTTGATAAAATTAGTCGTTCTTAAAATTAAATTAATATAGATTAGTAACTCATTAATTAATTAAGCTTTCTAATTTTGAATAATATGTGAAAAATAACCATTGTGACAAAAGAAATTATATTTGAACAAAATAGATTCAATTCTTAAGAACGACACTTATTTAAAAAATGAGAAAGTAAGTAGTGACATAACATATTTAATTTTTATATAAAAAATGAAATAAATTTATTAGGTAAAAATAAATAATTAAAAATATTTTCGTGTTCCTATAAAAATTTCATAACATAACATATTTATATATATATATATATATATATTATTATTATTATCATTATTATTATTATTATTATTATTAGATGTGGAGAGCCAAAATTGGGTGTCAACACCTGGCAGGTTGAGGCAAAACGTTGTATTATCACAATAACTCTTAAGTGATGGTTGTCGGTTAGAAAAACTCCCACAACAGTATTTGCATGGTTCCTTAAGGGGTTCTGTTTAGTATGAATGGGGGTATGGGACTTCATTCATGCATTTCACAAGTAGACTT